TGGGAATGCTGCGAACCTTTAAGGGAAAACCGGACTGGCCTCTGTCTGCATTGGATGCCCCTGCGTGACCTTTCTGGATGCTCCAGCCCCTCTGCGCTGCTCTCTGGTTTGTGTTTAGAATACCCTCTCGCCTGTGGCGAGGAAGACTGCTAATTCAGGTTATGTCAGGAAATAGCTGGCTGATCTACAGGCCCAAGCCAGCACACAGTGTCTCCCTGGGACTCCTGGACGTGGGCTGAGGCACAGGTTGCCATTTTTTCTGGATTGGCAACACAGATGTCTTCTCTATGAGCCACACTCCCACTGGGCAGAGGCTGGGCTGTTACCCCGAGCTCTCAGAGCCTCAGTGCAGCCGGTCACGCCCATCCTGTCCTGCCTGGGCCCAGTCCCCGCGCTCTTGCTGCAGCTCTGGAACGTGACGCCAGGCGCTAATCTGTCCCCTGATCTGCTTGTGCTGCTGCTTTCAGTGCAGTGGGAAATACTTTGTAACTGAGAACAGTTCGCGAGCCTAGGGCTCCTGGATCACCCTGCAGGCGGGGGCTCTGTGCGGGAGGTGCAGTGCCCTCTGTTGGCAGCTCCTCAGGGACCCAGGTCTGGGGGTTGCCTCTGCGGATTGTGCTGCTAACAGTGGTCGCCACAGCAAGAGAAGCAGGGACACAACAGCTCCACAGGCCGTGGGGAGCCTATCAGCCTCAACCCCCCAGATGCCCACACTCACGTCATCCTTCACCAGTAGGATGCCCACAGGACACCACCCACACCTGCCCCCTCCCATACCGAGCAGCCTACTGCGGACCCTTCCTGGCTCTTGATTTCCTGTCTCTGGGAACAGCTCTGAGGAACCGTTTTGCTTCTAAGGAGAATGAAGTAAAGAGTGGCATCCTTTTTCTCCAAACACAAGGATTTTTGCTTATATGTGTGGGTGAAGGAGCGCTGTGGGATAAGCGGAGGACACGGCGGTGCTGCCGCAGGGAGGAAGTGCGCACTTTCAGTGAGCAGCTCCTGCTGCCAGGATTCTGTCCCAGAGTCGGAGATGGTGTGTAGGTCTGCGGCACAGATAGCCTGTGCCACAGTCTGGGAGACACCACACTCCTCAAGGCCAGCCCTAGCTGCCTGCGGTCAGCAGCGCCTCCCTGCCCCTCACGGGGGCAGACAAAGCATTGGTGTCATGGTTCTCACTTCCACTGCACCAGCGGGGCTGTCTGTCCCGAATCAGGTTTCTGGCCTTCGCCTCAGGCCCAGAATTCAGTGCAACTGTGAGTGGGCTGGGAAATCTCCACTTCAGAGTTTCGATATTTTGTACACAGATATTTGTGAACCGCCAATAATATAATTAACAGAAAGCGTTCAAGTTTTATTTTTCTTTTGACTAAGTATGTGCAGCATGAATTGTTCTCTTTGCACAGAGCAAAAGGCAAAACATTTCTCAAGTAGTGAGTTTTCTGAGATGCTTTAACCACGTTCTGTCTTCCATGCCTGCTTTGGAGTTTTGTCATGCTTTTCCATCTTTCTGGAGAACCGTCTCCATTTAAGAACCCCGTACCAATACCTTTTCTGTTACTAACTCCCTCGGCTGCTGCTGAGAAGCTTCCTTAGGTCCATACTGTGGTGGCTCACCTGCCATTCTCTGGCCACACAGCAGGTAGATGGGAATGAATCCAGCTGCCCGTTCCAGTGTGGGTGACTTCTTGGTGTAATCCCAGATAAATTCAGGATCAAAGCGTGTGGCACAATTAAAACGGCCCTGTGTTCTGAGAGGTCTGTTTCTCCCTGTACATCCAGAAAGCTTTGGTTCTGATAGTGATGAATAAACATGCCCCAGTTGATGGTGCAGTTCTTGGCCAGGCCAGTTTCCCCTTTCTGTGGGACCTGCTCTCTGGGAGCCTCAGGGAGAAGCTTCCTCCAAAGACCAAGACTGAGAAGGAAGCCACCGTAGAGCCTTGGACCAGCTTAGTCCCATAGGAGCCACAGAAGGAAGCTGGACAGGTCTCGGGAGACAGGTGCATGGCCCAGCCTGGCTGTGGCTTTCAGATCTGTGCAGCCGTGAGCAATTAGGAAAAAGCTGTTTTAAATCACTGAAGTTATGGAGAAGTGTACTGTGTGGGAACAAATGAGAAATGTGAGGGCAGGGAGGGTGACCCTGCTGCTGTGCTGGCTGACTCTCATCTGGGCTCCAGTTGCTTGCTTTTACCTCTGGAGAGGAAAAGCCCCGTGCCAGCAGTGACATCACTCAGCAATCACTGAGTGGACGGAAGGGTGGGCGTGAGGCTTCCGGAAGAACAGAAGTTGCCTTTGTCCCTGTTCCCTATGGAAGGTTGGTCCGCACCCATAGAGAATCCCTCCCCTAAGTGAAGTGGTTGTGCAACTGAACACATCCACAGGGTGCTTTAAATCATCCCTGGAGGACGTGCAATAGTGCAGTGCAGAACCTCTGCCTTGTGTAGGGAAGAACACGGAAAAGAAAGATTCAAGTTCAGTACATGTGTGTTTTTTCAAATATTTTTGATCTGTAGTTTTCTGATTTTGTGGATGTAAAACCTACAGATATGAAGCTATCTGGGTGCAACTTGAGTGGACTATGTTCTCTCCTTGGTGAGTGCAGAGCAGTTTAAGAGCATTCCTGACTTCTCCCACGGCATCCTTCCCCATGTTTAGGAGGGCATCGGAAACACTGGACACACACTGAAGCCATGACCCACCAGTGGGTTGCACCCCAGCATGCAAAACACTGCCCAGATGGGAAGCTCCACGGGTGCAGGGCTCTGTCCTGGTCTCACTGTGTGCCCGAGGCTTAGCAACATCTGGCAGATGGGAGCGATTGCAGAGTTGACACACGAATGAAGTCCATGATGGTAGTTCTGATTTACTGAAAAGGGAAAAATTTCCATTGCAAGGCAGGAGATCCAAGGCCAACTCCTAACTCTTGAACCATTGTACATCCTTGAGAACTAACTTCAGTTCTCAATTTTCTTACCCACAAAGTAGCTTGTGATATCTGGAACTCATGAGAACAAATAAGTCTACAACTAGGAACCCACTCTGAATAAAAGATGCAGATGGTGCATGTTGCTCACACCCTTTCACATGCACAGGGCTAGTACACAAATTCTTCACTTCTACTACTTTACTGATTTGGTTTAATTAGGGTAACACTGCTGAAACAGTGAGGTCTCAGTTTAGACCTTTTTAAGAAAAAATACTTAAACTTTCATTGAGTAAGATGGTAGTCGCAAGGCACTGGGATGGGTAGGCACCTACCTGAAGTGTTGCTAGCCAAGCAGGTCCTTCAGGTTGCAGTACAGTGTTTTAACACAAATTGGTATTTCTGACTTTCTGAAGGGAGACTTGACCAGGTAAAGTGTCCTTGTTATTCCTTCCAGAGTTTATTAACTCCCTGTGTACGTACTAGAAAATGCCGCCATTTCTGAAGTCCTGGGGGCCGGGTATGTGAGGTTTTGAGCAATGCAGTGGAGACTCAAGGTCATTAAGTTGCTTTAATGATCGCCGGCAACTTTGTGTTGTCCCAAAGCCCAGGCCGTAACTGGCGGCACCTTCCCTACATTGTCACCTTCCTTTGCCCCTGTGGAGGCCAGAGCTGCACATCCTGGGAATCTCCAGGCTTCCTGGGAATCGCCCACTGGCCTTGTGGGAGAGGCGCACGATGTCACGTGAGGGCTGTACACTCCAAATTCTGCCTCAGCCACTTTAACATGTTGTGACCCTGGCTGGGTGCCCTCAGTGTTGTGAACACTAATGAAATACAGTGTGTGCACACTCACAAATACACTCACACACACACACACACACACACACACACACACACACACACACACACACACACACACACAGGTGTGCATACTCAGCACAGTGCCCAGCATACAGAAAACTCAATGTGATGCTCTCTTTAGCTGTTGTTTCATTTTTATTACTCATTGCCAGTTCTGTCTGGACTGTTAGAGGGGCTGCTACAAAAGGAAGTCAGTTTAGCTGCAGAAACAAATGCGTTTCTTTGCTTCCCAGGTTGTGTGGGGCCCTGGGCTGAGAGCTCTGTGAGGCTTGGCTCAGTAGGGACAATACCTCACCCAGGAGCAGGGCCTTCCCTGCCCTGCTCCATCCCCTCTGCAGCCTGCACTCGCTGAAGAAGCCGGGACGTTGATGCCACAGCTCACTGTGACTCTGGGAGGGGAAGGGTCCCTTCTCCGAGTCAAAGCCACGCTGTAAAGGAGTCATTTGTCTCACACACTGTCCCCCTCCCACGTTGTCCCCTCCCGACAGCAGATTCCTCCCACTTCCCACTGCAACTTGACCAGAAGGGCTTGCAGGCTGCCCTGCCAGGTGTGTGTGCCCCAGAGAGATCCGAAGATGAAGCCACTGGTTGGATGCCCTCAGAGTTGGAGGATGGAGGACACTGTCTGTGACTTCGTGGCCCGCAGGACAGCGCCGTGGGTCAGGAGGTGTTCAAGGCCCTCTGGTCACGGTGCCCTCTGGGAAACTCTGGCTGGAGAGGAGGAGAGCGCTCCTGGCATGGCCAAAGGGCTTGCTGTGGTCATATTCTCTGAGGAAGCTGAGCGACACCCAGAGGGAGCAGGAGGCCTTGCTGGAGAGATCACCAGTCTCTGAGGCCAGCATGTCCGGTCCTCCCCAGCTGCCATCCAGTCCCTGTTCTGGGCCTCCCTCATATTGGCGTGACACTAACCGTCATCCGCAGAGCACCAGCCCGCCTGGCCCTTTGCCCTGCGGGGAATCTGGTGATTGTGAGCGACTCCTGTGCCCACAGGACCGCGTCGGAGCTCAGGCTTCTGAGTCCACCCAGGTCCGAACTCCAGCACAAGGGGCTGCACCACTCCCTTCCCTGCTGTGCTGGAGAGCCATCAGAACCTTAGCCTTGGAATCCACACTGCACAACACCCACGGGTGCATAGCTCCCTGTTACTCAGGGCCCTGAATGGAGCTGTCGCCTGCTCCTGCTCCGAGGTGGCCATGCGCTGAGCCGTACTTACCCTGAGAGTAAGTGGTCCCGGTCCCGCTGACACTGAACCTGTTGAGGTGCAGCCTGTGTGTGACCACGTTCTTCTGGGGCTGGAACAGCACGATGTGCACCTTGGGAGCAAACAAACAGCCCAGGACCACAAAGCCACTCAGGCTCACGGAGATGCACATGGTCGTCGTCTGCACCTGCAAGAGAAGACAGCCCAGTAAGTGTCCCAGGAGAAGTCAGTCATATTTGTATAAAGACATTCGTGCAGAACCACTGAAGTCAGAGTGGTAAACAGCAAAACATAAATATTCCGTGGCTAAGTGGCTGGTTGCTGATAGTTTCAGTTAATGAGCTTGGCTTCTTTTTACTTCTCCATATGGTGAACTAACCCAGGCTTCTATCATTTTTCCATCTCCTTTCCTGCTGGGCGCCCACCTGGTGGCTGCTGGCTTCCCTATCAATACTGCCAGGCACCAGAATCTACTTTGCTGTGGCACTGCTCTGCGGCACACTTTGCCGGCACTGACCATCACTGCGGGTTCTCTGGCGCCACGCCGTGGTCTTCATGGGTTTCTCTTCCCGCTTTGCCCGTGACAGGAGGTACCCTCCGAGCTGAGGCAGGCACCTCCTGCTTTTTCAGCTCTCGCCTGCATCTTCTCCGACTCTACTGTCTGCCTGGCTTCAGCTACAAGTGACTTACTGGAGACTCCATGCTCTACCACCTTCGGTACTGGAAAACGGGTCACAAACCATGCCATCAGCTCCACGAACGCTTCCCACTGAGACTTGGACTTTCTGGAGTGGTTCTCGTCCCCCAGGTAAATGTGAGTCCAACAGCATAGTTGTTGCTGAGTCCCTGGCCATCCTCTCTAATCAAAGAAGGTCGAAGTCTGAACAATTAATTGATGAAGCCATATAACTTCTGGAGGCTTCACACTGTTTTTGATAAAAAATCTGCTCTATACTTTCAGTGTAATTATTCAGATCCAGGTTTATTTTAAATGCTGAAAGCAGAACTCTCCCAGTCGTTTTAAAGTTCTATTTTCCTTAAGTATTCCACCATCCTTGAGCTTTGAGTCCCCAATAATAAGGGGCCCCTTTTCCTTGGGCCAACTTCTGAGCAAATGCACTACTCACTACCCAACTCTGGAAAGTGAGAGTCTCAGTTGGCCACCTTCACAGATGTGTGTAATACGATGGCAGGACTCTACTCTTCCTGCCTCGGTTTCCACTGTGGAGCCAAGATGAATGGCACCACTCACAGCAGGGTGACATAAATTCAAACGTGAATTTTCAAGGAACCCTTGTCAAAAGCAGTGCTGGATGTTGTCAACTCCTCTCACACTTTGAGGAGAGGAGGGAGAGGCTTTGATATGTGAGCACTGCTCTTGAGAACCAGGAGAGCTGCCTCCCTGTGGCCATCCCCAGAAAGGGTCAAGGTCGCTCCAGGAGAGGGCGCTGGGCAGGCCTGGCTCCACACGGAAACCTAGCTGGTGAGGAAAAGCTAACACTCCACCAGCGGGCACAGCACAGGGAGTGCTACTGTACAGAGTCCTCCGAGAACTTGTGATGGCAAAGGACAAGGTGGGCTGCCCAGGGCTCGTCCACGGCAGCTGTGGGCGGTTGTGGGGAGCTGGGGACTCTTGCAGAGCAGCTGGAGGGAATGGGGGACACTTTGGGACTGGGAAAGAAGCCACACATGACAACTCAGACTGGAGAACTACCAGCCAATCACTCCAGGACCAGCAGGAGATTAAGAAGAGAGGAACTTTGACGATCACTCTCAACACCCTGTCTTCTGCCCCCACTGTGGACTTGGAGAGCAGAGCCATCCAGCTGCGCTGCCCTGCTTCTTTCCGGTCGCTCCTCCATCAGGGCCGAGGGGAACAGCAGGTGGTGACTGGAGGAGTGCAGAGGGCTTCTAGGAAATGATGCAGGACCGTGGTGTCAGGGCACACAGGGCCCGGCCGTCTGTCCGTGCCGACCGCTGTGCGGCACTGCGGCTCTTGAGTGCTGAAAGCCTGGTCCCTGGAGCTCTCTCTGGGGCTGGGCTCGACTAAGCACGAACAGGTCCTGGGAAGCACAATGAAGCTGCACTAGCTTGTGCTCCATAGTTGGTTACCTGGCATTGCTGTTAGGGACTTGGGACCTCCGCAGACCGGGAGTCAGCCCCAGCTGCAGTCTATTTCTGCAGGGAGCCACTCGCCGACCACCGCGTCACCTCCACGCACATGGGTTCCCACAGCTTTAAAGAGATTTAAAAAATTTTAAAAATACTCAGCACTAGAAAAATAACAATGAGTAATAATAAAATAAAAATGACTTTAACTGACAAAAATTGTATGCCATACCTAACATGATGCATTGTAGAATGGCCAAATGGGGTTCATTGACAATGTACTGCCTCGTGAGCACTTAAAACCTGCTCTCAGTAACTAAGTGTGGTGCCCACAGATGCCACAGGCACCTCGGATGTTTTCCTCCCCAGGTAGTGGAAACCTTATAGCTGCTGTGTCCTCTTGTAGGGAGCAGTTTGCTCGATGGAAACCCAGGGCTTGCTGTTAAACAGATCGGGGCTTACAACAACGTATGGGGCAGTTTTCTGTGAAATCATGGGTGGCCAGGGGCTGTGCTCCTCTGGAGAGCTTTGATCCACGGTGACTTTAGAAATACAGAGAATGAAAACTAAGTGCTTGAGGAGAAAAAAGTCTTATACTCACTCATTCTCAGATACTGAAATCGGAATTAATATAAAAATAACTGGTGAATGGTTCAACAATTTGGGAAATTGTAACAGAAGGATGAAGTTTCTTCCAGAAGCGATAGCAATTACATGGAAGTGTAGGAATTTAACTGTTACTTAGGGTCTATGAATAATGATTTAATTGTTTCTTGTATATGTTCAGTAAGGCTTTTAACTAGACCAAGGACTCTCTCTCTTCTTCTCCTCTCCCTTCTATATGCGTGCGCGCGCACACACACAGCATATCTGTATACATGACTAAAGTTTTAGAAAAGGCATAGCATTGTACCATAATCAGTTTTAGAAAAGTAACAGAGCATGAATGAAATTTTTAGATCTTTCAACTGATCCTGGCTTACTGTTCCAAGTCTATTTAATTTACAGATTGATCTATTAAAGCCAAGTCCTGCTGTGTCTAATTTGAAGTATTCTCACTGGGTGCTTAGTGATTACGTCTTACTCTTTTGCCAGTCACTTTCAAATTTAGTTCTATTTTAGTTTTAGAAAAGTAACAGAGCATGAATGAAATTTTTAGATCTTTCAACTGATCCTGGCTTACTGTTCCAAGTCTATTTAATTTACAGATTGATCTATTAAAGCCAAGTCCTGCTGTGTCTAATTTGAAGTATTCTCACTGGGTGCTTAGTGATTACGTCTTACTCTTTTGCCAGTCACTTTCAAATTTAGTTCTATTTTGAGA